ATTAATTTAAACAGAATATGTTAATCTTTTATTTGTAACGAGTCCGATCAGTGTAAGTATTTTTTACGGATTTTTACGATCAATTTCTTTTTGTAAATTTTCCACCAGATTGACGACTACTGTTGCAATGAATTTGTTACAATTGTGTGCGTGAAGATGCAATCAGCCTGGGATTTCCACCAGAAATATGTTTCTAACTCCTGTCGAGTTTGTGGTTTCTACCGAGGTGAAAAAAGGAAAGAAAACTTTCATAAATTAAGAGATACCAACATTTCGTTTTTAATTTCTTCAGTCTTCAAAGTAAACATTGCCGACGATCAACAAAATGTCCACCCAACTCAGCTTTGTAACAACTGTTATGCCATATGCCTGAACTTCCAAAAAAACCCTTTGTATAAAACAGTCCAAGAGGTTGTTTCTTGGAGCAAACATGAAAATGAAAACTGTTCAGTGTGCGACAATTACGCTAAAAAACTTCGCGGAGGACGGAAGCGAAAGTTGTCAAAGGGAAGAGGGCGGCCAAAAGACTCTAAATCGTTATACACCAAATCAACTGTTGGCAAACAACAAAAAAGGTCTCTGCCACAGAACATTATTCCTCCCCCAGTAATTGATACAATGCCAGAATTATTCAGATTTCATTCCCCACCAGAAGATCTTCTATGTCCAATTWGCAAAGAAATCTTAAGTAGGCCTGTACAGTCAYAGTGCCAGCATCMTTTTTGCTTTGAGTGTGTGCAAGAATGGATGATACATGCCMGTAACCAAGRAAATTGCCCCTCTTGTTTGCAATCCCTGGATATTGTTGAATTCACTCGAGTGCCCCGTGTAATAATGAATGTTTTAAATTCGTTGTTGGTATCATGTAGATCATGTAAAAACATGATTCAACTAGATCAATTAGCTTATCACGAGCAGCAATGCAAAATTTACGAAACCAATATTGAATCAAAGACACTGGCCGAGGTATTGCAATCCCCTAATGATGCCCRACTAAGCACTGAKGAAGAACGCGCCGTCACCCACTTGGTTAAAAGGAAGCTCTGTGGTTCCACAAAGTCACAAGTCATATTAAAAACTGGGGGAACGGTAAGTGTCAATATCATTAATCAATACTTCGTTGGGGGAGGGGTGGGGGGCTAGGAGATGTGATAACATTGATCCATAACTTTCATTTATAGGTTAAAATGTTATGCATTTAGGTATTTTTCATTAAAGTAGAGTATTGTTTTTTAGCCATTAAAACTCTCTGTTGAGACAACATCCAGGAAGCCGCTTCCCGAGGTCAGCACTAAAACTATCCAGCGCCGTGTGAATGCAGTGCAGATGCTTCGTCAAAATCTTGCAAACTACAACAAAGTTGAAAACAACTTATTGCGTGAGAATGAACTCAAAAGACTTGGCAAAGATGAGCGTGACGATTTACTTAGGAATGCTGGACTCTGTCTGGAGGTGTCACCTGAACAAGGTCTTGCGATGAAGACAGAATTAGGTCTACCCTGGAACAAAATAAGACA